CTTGGGCAGGCCACTTCTCTCTCAGCCTCGGTTTTTTCATCTATAAAATGGAAGTGATAATGCAAATGGCTTGGGTTTAATTGTGAGCGTTAAAGATACACATTTGTGCATAGACGTTGAACACTAGCTCTACACTGGAAACTGTGCCGGCCACTCAAAGGCAAAACAGCACCAGGCAGCCAATGTTCATGGCCTTGTGAGGTGTGACAGCCTCTTAAATGCCAGTCACTTTGTAGGTTGCTTAAATGAAGCTTGCTAGTTCCAGTATTTTTTCCTTTACCACCTTTTCCTGGTGTTTACAAAGTACTTAAGTAGTGTTATAAAAATATTACTGGACAGAGAATTACCTATATGGTGTCAGGGGAGGGGAAAGACATTTGCTTAAAAACCAAATAAAAAAGATTTTGTCAGGCAGTTTAAATCTCAGAGAACTAACATTTTTCAAGCTTGTTTAAAGCTTGTATTGTGTGCTCCAGTGAATGGGCTAACTCTGAGTGGTCCTCAGTAGTTTCTCAGGCACATTCGGCATGCTGCACTACTGTATTTAGCAGCTCTTTAATAGCCATAAGTTTGGGCTGCTTGAAAAGCAATAAAGTTGTGTTTCTTGACAGGCATCTGGCTTTTGTATTTACTCCATTGATCCAGACTCAGCTTGTCAGAATTATGGAAAAGGCCCTGTGTTTCCAAGCGGGGCCTGTGAAGAGAGATACTCGCTGTGGACAGAGAGGGAGAGCTTGTGGCAGCCCCAGGAGGGTCCAAGACCTGCCTGCATGGTGGCCGGAGCTCCCTGGGCCCTGGGCCAGCCCTCCTCTGGCCGCTTACAGTTAGACATGAGAACACTCTCCAGCAAGGCTTGCCGGGGCTCCTCACCTGGAAGCAGCAGCTGCCCAGGGCTGTTGGTTGTTCCTCCCCAGATGACAGCCAGGTTCCAGTCCTGCCTCGGTGTGGAAGGAGGAAAGGCTAGGTCCAGGAGCCTGTTTCAGGACACACTTCCAGTTCCCTAGGGCAGATGCACAGAGTCGGCGCCTCCCTGGCCTGGTCCTGGCAGAGGCCCTGCCTGCCTTGCTCTTATTCTCGCTTCTGTTGCTCCTCTCTAAACTTACTGATATGCTGACTTCTTAGAACTGAAACTAGGAAAGTAAGTCCTGTTTGATCAGAAGGATAGAAAGACAGTGTGGGAAAGAGAGGAGAGAGAGACAGAGAGGGGGGAAAGAGAGAGAGAGATAGAGAGAGATGGGAGGTGGAGGTGGGAGAGTGAGAGATGAAGGAGACAGAGGAAAGGCAGAGAGAGATTTCAGACCTTCCAAACCAGTGACCAGGCCAGAGCAAGAGCGGTGGGCAAATGGAGGACGATGACAGCCACCTCGCTCCTGCCCGCTCTCCCAGAGGAACGACCGTGCAGCTTCTGCACTTATCTCTGCATCTGTTTCCCCTTGTGCAAGATGCAGAACTGCTTGCTCCAAAGAAACAATAAAAGCATTCATGTTTATAAGAGTCGTGCAGGTGAAAGTTTACTGATGTTGTATTTTCTACTATAGATTTGCTAAGCTTGTGCCTGAAATTGTTGGAGTTTCGTAGGCAAAGGAGAAAATCACAGTATGTTTTTGTGAAAACATTATTCCTTCTGACATCTCCCTTTACAGGCCTAGTGATCTTGGTTTTCATTTAGGTGAAAGTTTGTGTAAACATGCTGTTAATTCCATTTGTGATTAACTCTTTTACTGAATGTAAGCTCCTTTTTAGCCCAGACTATATCGAGCTTAAATTTCATTTTCTACTTGACACTCTGCATTGCTTCTATGTGGGAGAAGAGGGCCTCAGTGAGTTCTTTACAAAATAAATTAAGAGCCTATGTGGTTTGCATGTTAGCGGGGGGTGGGATGGGATTTAAGTGCCCCTTCTAGACACTCCAGGCTGCCCTTTGCAAGCTTTGTCTTGGGAGAGGCCGAGTTTCCTTTCCCTTAAACAGTTTCCTGTTGTTTCATCATTCCTTGGGTCTTTCTCTAAAAGCAAAGTCACTTTTACAAAAAAGTCACTGCTTTTTCATCCCAAGAGATGCAAATTTGGAGTTTGGGGAAGTTTTCAGGAGCATCTTATGTCACACTAGTCAAGCCACAGAATTCTCAGGGCCTTGTGCAGCCTGAAAATGTGGGGCCCCTTGTTCGGAAATTATTCAGAATTTCGGTGAACATCACACCAAGCAAGAGACCCTTCTAAGCACAGCCCCCGAGCGACAGCACTGGTCCTACACATCCATGACGCTGCTGGTGTCAGAGAGGGTTGGTTGCACCTGTGTCTGAAAATCAAAGTGCGTGGATCGTGGAACCCAGGTCCCCATGCTGGGTGGCAGTTGGGTGTGCAGCACAAGTGGAAAAATCTAGCAGGCCTAGGCACTAATGCAGAGTCCTCTGGGTCCTGTTGTGCCCTATGGTCCCCAGGGGCAGTCTTGCTGCTTACATAGACTGGCCAGGAAGGGTGTTCTTGTGGCATCCTCTGCCACTGTCCCCAGCTCCCTCCAAGAGACACGTGTGACGTTTGCAAGATGCCTGTCCAGGGTAGGGGGTTCCCATGGAGCAGAGCTGCATCCGGAGACCAGCCGGGATGATCGTTAAGGGGGCTGATCGTTAGAATTCTGGTTTGCAATGTGTTCTCACGTCTCACGCCAGCATAGACCAGCAGGTCTACTGGAACTCAGCATTGGTCACTCGTGTCCCCATAGAACAAAGCCAAGGGGTCACCAGCTCTCCGCTGAAAGTGTTTTCTCTAGAGGTGCTTGGGGGGGAGCTGCCGGCAGCCTGGGAAGACAGTTTTCTCTTTTCATTGGAAGTAACTTGAGTGGACAACAGTAGGGTGTTGGTGAAATAAAGCAGCTGAGCAGTGCATAGTCATTAAAACAATGATGCTGATGTATTTTGTTAAATAAAAAGATATGTGTAGCATTAAAGGAAAATATATTTTGAAACAGTATATTTTGAACATGTCTAATGTCTATTTGAAAAAGCACAGGCACACGCGTGCACACACTGAAAAAAATTAGTAGTTCTGAGTGGTGAAAATTATGGGCATTTTCTTACCTTTTAAAAAAAGTTGTAAAAAATATCTATCATTTGCGTAGCAAAAAGTTTGAAGTGAACACTCTAAAAATTTTGTGTGGGAGTAGTTATTGCGACAAGATTTGACTTCTATATGCTTCACCAATCAGAAAAGAGGCGTTTTAGAACTGGTTTGTGATACACCACAATAAAATACTGTACTTGTCTTCAGAAAACCAAA